CTCAGCTAATCCTCAGTGTCTGAGTGCCTCGTCCAGCTCCCCGGGCTTGCCCCCCGCCACACGCGGAGGCTGCTTTGTGTATTTCCCAAGCCCATGGCTGTCCGACGTTGTCCCACCGCTGAAAGTCAGAGAGCACAGGCAAAGGTGGTGAATTCTCAATGTCCGGGGGCCGCATCGGCCTGGTCGCGGCCTGGTCTGTCACGAGCCTCCTGCTTGTCCGAGAGGGACCCCGGCCCGCAGTGGGTGCTGGGTAAGCGCTGTCCACCTGCCCACGTGCTGGGTGGGAATGACTGTGGGACCAGCCTTGCAGGGTTACCATGGGTCTGGAAGAGGATCAGCAGAAGGCTCCTGAGGCAGGCACACGCTGGGCCACTCACTTGCCTGGGCTGGCTGGTCAGGATGGCACAGCCGCTTGCCCTTCAGGGGAGGTGGCCTGGAGATGGGCCCCGCTGCAGCCCTGTCTGTCCTGCTGATGAGAGGCACCCTTCGCCCCGGAGGTGGTGACCGGGGATGCTTTTGTCTCCCCAGCAGAACATCCAGATCCCACCCGGGGCGATGAAGTCACCACACAGAATACCCCAAGGCCACTCCTGCTGGCCGTGAAGAAGCTGGGCAGCCTCCAGGAGCTGAGGCTCTGGATTCTGCTAACAACCAGGAGGGCTGGAAGAGGTGCCCACCCCACTGACACCTAACTGCAGCCTGTGAGGCTCCAACCAGAGGCCCCGGCCACACTGCGCCTGCGCTCCTAACCCATGGAAGCTCTTCTAGTAGGACAGAACAGCAGAACATATTGACCAGAGCCAGAACTGCACGCTGATTCCATCGCTAGTCCGGGAGAGTTTTCTCTGGTTGTGAGCAGCCTCTCTTAAGAGTATTAATGAAGACTTCTTCGAGAGACTGGTGAGCCTCTCTCGGTGGATGGGCTGGACCAGAAAGCGGCTTGCTGAGGGGGAGGACGCCTGAGGACACCTGATGAGCAACGCTTGGCCAGCGGGACCCCCCTCGCTCACCTGGGGAACCTTCGGTCTCCCGCCCCCTGGGCACCTGAGCCACAGCCTTCCTCGTCGTCCTGGGCAATACTGATGTCAGAATCACCACGGTTTGGCCGTTGTGGACTCTGCTAAATTCAAGTGGCTCCTGAATGAAACGGCGCTTGGGTATAAGTCCTGAAAAATGTTGTTCAGTGAACAGCGTTAAGTAGCTGGGAAAGGCACTTAGGAACTGGGCAGAAAATCACAGGGCTGATTTCGCCAAGCCACCCAGCTGCCACGGCCAGATGTGGCTGGGTGTGCGGAGGAGGGCTGGGCCGGGGAGGGTCTTGCTGAAAGCATCTGACATGAAGGCACATGGGCGTGCGGCCTGAGATGCTTGGACGCTGTCTCCCCACCCCAGTTCCTCAGGGTCCATCGAGGCTCCTCTCTATGGCTGGTGGGACTACACCGTATGGATGCACCACACAGTTTCCTTCTCTGTCCATTCATCTGTCAACACATTTGGGTTGTTTCTAGTTTGGCACTATTATGAATAAAGCCACTATGAGCACCCACGCAAAGGAAAAAAAAGGCATTCCCAGAACATTCAGGGCCCTAAGTTAACATCAAAGGGACTGACCATGAGAGCGCATGCGTCCTTCTGGTGAAGGGCAAACTTGGATCCACATAGAGGCTCCTCCTTGTAGAGCACCCGCTTGTCCTGTGGGAGAGCCGCAGGGATGCACTGTGGCCACTCTGCAGCCTACCGGAGGATGCTCAGGGAGATCAGCTTGAGCCCTTCCAGCAAGGGGATCTCACAGCTGTTGGAAGATGGCAGTGCCCCTGTACACCTGGGTCCCGTGGCACAGCCAGCCCCCCAATACTGGGTCAGGTCTGAGGAACGACTCAGCCCTAGGAATATGACAAGGACCATCTGAGGCTTTGCAAACATGAAGTATCTTCCCCAGGCTGGGTGTTGGAGCGGGGCCCAGGTGTACAGGGGAGTTTGAGACCGGTCAGGTCTGTGGTGATTTGCTAATGCCCCAGATCCTGTGGATGCAGAGGCCGTGCTGTGCCAAACTGTGGGCCCCACAGTGGGCACAGAGGAGGGCCCCACTGGTTCAGACACCAGTGTTTCCAGTAGAGTTGGTACCACTGGGGTTCCAGGTGGCTCAGCTGAGTGGACAAAAGTCCTGGCCACCAGTCTTTCCACACAACATCCATAAGGCCTGGGTGAACTTGGCAACTGCTTGCCTTATCCACATGGCCCCATCAGGCACACAGGACTAGCAGGGCTCTGACAGACCAATTTGGTCCTCGTACACCAAGATTCAGCCACAAGATGTCCCTGGGACCCTGCTCACCAGCACGTGACCTCTGTAGGGGGTCAGTTGCCTGTGATCTTCCATGCACCTCTGCTCGTGCCTTTACAGGAGAGTGAGGCCCATGTATGGACTCTGGGTCCGCGTCTGCCAACACCTCTACCATGTCCAGGGGCAAGGCACTGGCAGCCGACACACACAGCTCACCTCAGACATTCTGGAAGCATCTCTGGGTTTAATAAACCTCATGCTGACTTGCAGTACCCTGTCCCTTTGTCTGGAACACACACGTCTATGGCTGTTTTTGTAAATACGGTGGTTCTACTGAAGGAAGGAGTCACCAAGAATCTTGGTGACACAGGCATATACAGCTGTGTTCTAGGAGAACACCCTCAGCGTGTGGCCTCTTGTGGGAGCCATGCAAGGCTGTGGCTTGGTGAGGCCACTCTCCATTGTCTCTGACCTGACAGCCTCCCTGTGAGGAGCACCCCGAGTGTGGCTTACTTGGCAGTTTTCCTCACATCTATGAGGTTCGAGTGCCTGCAGCCCAAACAGAGCCTCTCCTTCTGACATTCATCAAGTGGAAATCCTCTGGATGTGTCCCCCACCATCTAGTGACGTGGCTACGGGATACTCGGGGGCCAGCGTGGTCCCTCCCAGAGGTGTTGGAGGACACTTGCCAGCACCTCTGTCCAACAGGGCCCATATGGGTAGGCCAGTCCCCAGGATGGGCCTTCCATGAGCTCCAATGGTATACAGTCCCTTAGAGAGTGGCCATAGGTCCCTGGGGAGGCTGGGCAGAAGGCCGGCAGTATACATTGTTGGCAGTGTAGTGGGGTCTTTCCTTAAGGGGCCTGGGGCGCTGACTGGGGGTTTGTGAATCTATTTCGGTGGCCCGGGTCAGACATCTGTCTGCTCGATCCAGAATGCTTCCACTCAAGCAGACCAAGCTAGACTCAATCTGGCTGCCTGTCAGCTCCACTTCCAGGGCCCCAAGGGCACCAGCCCATGCCCACATCTCTGCCAGTCTGGCTGCCGGTGGCTGAGGCTGCCCACCACACAACCACACACTGGACAGTTAAATGTCACTACTAGGCCTTGCCACTCCGAGATTCAGTGACTCCGCTGCCTTTAGAGAACCTTGCTCTGTCGGGGTGGCTCCAACTGACGTGCAGAGAAGAGAAATCACAGAACTCTCCAAGGATGCTGGGCTCCCCTTGTGGACGTATTCCTCAAAGTCTTGGGAAAAGGCTCCGGCCCCTCTTATGGAGGGTGAGCAGCTCTCATGTGTTAAGTCCCCTCGAGTACCCCAATCTCCCCAAACCCTCGGGTCACCCCCTCTGCAGTACACTGAGGGGGTTCTGGCATTTCAACCGTACTCAGCGAACCTGCCTTGTGATCCATGTTTCAACCAAGCAACTGCACCTGGGGGCCCTTTCTAACTCCTCGGGCTGCAACAAGTCCAGACCCTCTGTTAGTGGCCCTGTTTCCATGGATCTGGCCTGATGCATTTCATATTCCTGCCACCTGGATCCCACACATGTTCTCCAGATTTCTATCTGCATGAAGTTCTTCTGGAGTGTAGCCACCTCATCACGGGCCACACTTTGTACCTCACCCTTTGGGGCCTCCTAGGGCCTGAGTCTAGTTATAAACAAAGCTGGGGTGAGGGGAGGTGGTCCTGAGTGTCCCACAAGACCCCGCCCCAGGGGGGGAGCCATTCCGGGTCCTTCAAGTAAAGGAGGACTGACCTCTTCAGGCAGAGACTGAAGGGGCTCTTCTGGCAAAAAATGGCAGCGGAACAAAGGTGTTTGAGGCCCCCAGCTTCCTCAATGACTGCCCACAGCCCCCACCCCAATTTCCAGGGTCCCATTCCTTCCCAGTCAACAGCCCAGCTTTAAAAGATGCCCTGACGGCTGGGCCCAGCCATGCATGGAAGGAGACTCCAGACACACTCGCTGCTTCGGCTGCTCATTCCCAGTTGCCCTGTGTGCACACTATTGGCTCTGTGTTGTTGGTGGCTGTGTTGGCCACACTTAATTCTGCTGTGCTTTCCACCCCGAAGATGGCACCTTGCCGTCTTTGGTCTTCCTCTCTTTGGGGCACTTCCTCCCATGGATTCAGGGCGCTTGGCCTGGCCCTGAACCATGAGCTCTCCCTGCCTTTGCCATCATCCACAGCCCGCCCTTCTCCTGCCTTGCTCCCTTGAGGGGTCTGCTCACTTCTTTATACGGGTTCTGGCTTCAGCCCTGAGCATCAGGAGCTCCTGGTCATCCTTGGGGTGAGGAGCCACACAGAGTCAGCAGGACCTGGGGGCCACATCTGCTGTCCCCCACTGGACAGGGGTCAACTGCCCTGCTCAGTGGAAGGTCTGAGGAGAGCTCTCGGAGCTGACCCTAAGGGGGAATCCAGGGTATCACCTCGGAGAATCTGTACCTTGAGCCCGTGGGTTTGCATCTAGAGGTTAATTGTAAAGGAGCCCCAGGTTGGCCTCTCACTTGGGCCGCAGCTGCTCAGGTGTCTGGCCCAGTTACTCTTTGTGAACTGCAGAGTCACTGTCATACAGATGCTGTATTTCGCAAAAGGAAACACAAGCCTTGTGCAGAAAACGAAGACTCCATGGACCAAGCCCCTCTTGTAACTGGAGGAGGAGAACCACGACTGGCTGTCCTCAGGGGTCCCGATGCACGGTTTCCACATGCCTGGGTCAGGCCAAAGCCTGGGTGCCCACCTCCCTGCCCTCTGCGTGTCCCAACGAGGGAGTGGATGTGTCGCTGCGGATCGGGTAGAGCGACCAGATGCTAATGCGCTGATCCCCGGACCCTGCGGCCAGCAAGCCATCAGTGGCAAAGGCCACGCAGTGGATGATGGCACTGTGGAAGGACAGTACGGCCAGTGGCTTCATCGTCCACCAGTGAAACACACGGACACGATGGTCCCAGCCTGCAGTGGCCAGGATCTTGCGGTCTGGCCGGATCTTGACATCAGCGATCCCAGGATTGGTGAGTTTGTGAGTTCTGCACACCTATAAGATCAAGAGAACCATGAAGTGGCTTCTTAGACCCGTCCGAGGGGCTCCCACCCCTAGACAGCCCCAGTCTGGCAGCCAGAACAAGGAGGGAAATGTCGGCCGCCAAGATGGTTGTATGCTCCTGCAAACTTTACCCCCTACCTCCCAGGAGCCAGGCACAGAGCTGCTGAGGGGAGCAGCCTGACTGCTGCCCTTGGCCGAGCCCCTGGGTTATGACAGAAGACTTCAGGCCCTTCTCTCAGAGAGCCCCTGAGGTCCCGCAGAGCTGCTCCCCTACACAAGGTCTGGGAGCAACTCAGGGGCTGCTCTGTTTCTCTGCCTATCAGGCCCTCAGGTGAAAGACCTCAGTGGGCTGGGTCCTGGGACCCCTCACCATGGAAATACACTGCACTCTAGCATCCACGCAAGATGCATCTCCAGCTTGATAGCAGCATAAAGTCTGCATGTTTCCCCTTGTGGGGAAACCTCACACCCACCCACAGCATGAGGAGGATGAGAGATGCAAAGTCCATCTTCAACGAGAGGGTTGAAGGGCCACCAAGTGGGGGGGCCAGTGGGTGCAGGCACAACCAGTGGGGGACAACACCAAAGGTGCAACCTGCAGGAGCATCTGCAGAGCCTGCCACACTGGCCATGGCCGAAACCTTAGTCCCTAGCTTGGTTCTGGGAGAAGGGCAGGCAAAACAAAACAAGGAGTTGCACAGGTGTGTTCTATCTGCATGGAGACGCTGGGAGCCAACCTCTTTCTGGAGGCAGAGCACTCCCACAGTCAGTGCTGGGTGATGACCCCTCACCAACATGTGCCTCCTGCAGCAGGTAAGGAATCAGAGCTGTCTTTGTGGTCACAGCTATTCATGGTTACATGGCATGTCTCATGCATTGCAATCTGGCATCTCTGTCCCCGCACACTAAATGAAAAAGGCACTTTGCCATCATTATGACAATACACAGTAGCCACTTCCTTCTACTGATCCTGTGTTTGGCTTAGCCCTGTGCACCATGAGCTCTTTTTGCCCTGAAGTTGCCTTTGCTGTCCCTTACCAGCACACCCTTTTCTCCTAATTCACTTCCTAATGGGGCCATGGTAGTCTTGGTTAAGAATCACTCATTTCTGTGAAGATAACACAAGGGAAAAGGAAGAAACACAGAAAGGCCAACATTTCTTGGAAGCAAACAGAAATTGTCCCCCAGGATTTTTTGCCATAATTTAATAAAACAAAACTCATGAAGCAGTTTCCTCTATAAAACAAGAACCTGAAGTAGCAAAACATAGAGGAGGAGAACTGAACTGACAGAGCACAGGAAAGAAAAGGAAGGAAGACCTCAAAGAAATGGAGGGGAATGGGAAATGGCAGAAGGAGACTGGAACAAGACAGTAAGAGCAGGAATGATACAAAGTGAGCAAAGTGAAAGGGAAACAAAGGGTTACAATGGATTGGAGAGAAAACAGCAGACATGGAAGACAGGCAGAGGTGCTCTAACATTCAGTGATTTAGAAAATCAATTTTAATTTTTAGAAAAATTGAAGCCTTATGATCCAGATCCAAAGACAGGCTATAGGATGGTCAATGTTAAGGTACACCTTAGGAAAATCACGGGACTTAACAGCTTAAAAAGTCCTTTTGGTGGTCAGGCAAAAAGATCATGTCAATTGTGAGGTAAGTTAGGCTGTCCTCAAAATGTTCCACAGCCACATCTGTGTCAGCAGACGGTAGAGGCGAAGAAAGACATGGTCCAAGCATTTTATATCCAGCCAAACTGCTGCTCAAGTATAAAAACAATAGACAAGCATTTTTGAACATGTAAGAACTTAAAGAATTTGCTCCCATAAGCTCTTCTTGAAGGACTGGAAGATTAACTCCAGTCTCATAAGAGATAACCAGGGAACTTTAGCAGATCATCTGGCAGAAAGCAAGGAATCTACTTACCAGTAGGATTAGACCTAAAACAATACATGGATTATGGCTCTAGAACCAGTTATGTAACTAACTGAAATATGGGGGGATAGTGAGAGAGATGGGATGTTTGTTAAATTCACTGATTTGCTCATCTTTTGTCATTTGGGGCCTAAGATACAATAGCCAACCTCATACTTGAGAGATTATCTGACAATCCACTGTAAGTAATGACAAAAACAACATGACTTCCTTCCCCGTCCCTGACACTAGGTGCCATGTTTTCCTAGTATTTGCTCTTGTATTTCTCTGTAAAAATATCCTCAACAGATTTATAATTAGGTTCCAAAGTTAAATCCAAATCTGTGCTATGTGTAAGAAAGACACTGAAAGAATGATTGGCAAAGATATACCAGGACAGTGCAGACAAGAGAAACAGGGGTCCAGTGTCAGTAATAGGAAACACTGAATTCAGAGGAAAAAGCATGAAGACAGACTATGTACCATACTTAGCAATGATAAAGGGTACAATTCGCAGTGAAGAGCCATGACTGTCTGTTCTAGAGATAAACAGGCGTGTCATTCACGAAGCGAGAACAATAGGACTGTGGCTATGATGGAGTAACTGGTACCAGACCAGTCCTCATGCTATAAACAACCATCAAACTGGACAAAAGATACCAAGCAACCATGTCTGGGCAGGCAGTGGACAATAGGTGGGGAGGGGCAGCTGATTAGGGGAGCCTCCCAAACACTCTGGCAGCAATCTGCCTGGGGAAATGTCCCAGCCACGAAATCTAGGTGGTGCCTAGAGGCCACATGAAGCTGAGGAGGCAGAGATCAGAGCGTGGGGGCAGTTAGGGCAGCTGCATCTGTGGGGTGAGCCAGCAGCATGGAGGTTAACCGGGGGAGGGCCTGAAGGCCGCGTCTGGGCTCCCCATCAGTCCTTGTGTGAGGGCTGGGCTGTGCATGCTCAGGACACCACATGAGGTTTACCAGACAGTGACTATAGCAGGGTTAGATGGAACAGATAGGGGAGATCAACCATGATCTGGGGTCCAGCCAGCCCAAACACAAACACCACCTGACAACCCAACACCAGGTGAGATGCCACAATGGTCTTGCAAGGAATAAGGATCACACCTGCGGGTAGGGCCTACCCTGGACCTACTGCAACAATGCTAGAGATGGAGCTCTACACGGTCTGAAGGAGAGGCAGAGTTCAGAAGGTGAGTCCTACCACATTAGAGGAGCCTGGGAAGGACCCTGGGCTTTCCACGTATCTGCCCTGACAGAGCATAAAGCCAAGCCTCCACAAGTTCAAGGTGAACAGCCAGTAACTGAACTAACTGCCTGCAAGAACAAAAGTAAATATTCTTCAGAGCAAAAGATTAGAATTCTCAGTCTCCATCACGTATCACTTACAATGTTGAGCACACAAACAAAAAAATTATTAGACATGCAAAGAAGCAGGAATATAGGATCCACAGTCAACTGGGAAAAAAGCAGTAAACAGAAACTGGCCCAGAATGGCACAGATGTTGAACATATCAGACAAAAACTTTAAAGCAGCTATTTAAGTATGCTCAAAAAAAATGAAAGAAAACGCATTCAAATAATTATAAAGAACAACTTCCCTGATGAGTGAACAGACAGGAATTATTAGCAGAAAAATGGAGATTATAAAAAAGAACGAACCCAGAACAGCCAACATATTATGTTAGAGGAGAAGAACAAAGTCCAAGGCCTGATGCCACCCGACTTCAGGACCTACTATAAAACTATAGTGGTCAAGACAGTGTGGTATTGATGAAAGAAGAGACAGATCAAAGAAACAGCATAGATAGCCCAGAAATAGACTCACATAAATAGAGTCAACTCATCTGTGACAAAGGAGCAAAGGAAACATAACAAAGGAAAAGATACTCTTTTTATCAAGCAGTGCTGGAAAAATTGGACATCCACGTGCAAAAATATGAATCTAGAGACAGACCTCACACCTCTAATTCACAAAAATAACTCAAAATGAATCACAGACCTGAATATAAAACACAACACTATAAAAATCATAAAAAGACAACACAAGACAAAAACCTAGATGACTTTGGGCTTGGCAATGACATTTATTTTTTTTTTAGTTTTTTTTAAAGATTTTATTTATTTTTGTGAGAGAGAGAGATCGTACGTGTGAGCAGGAGCAGTGGGAGGGGCAGAGGGAGAAGCAGACTCCCCACTGAGCAGGGAGCCTGATGCAGGACTCGATCCCAGGACCCTGGGGTCATGACCTGAGCTGAAGGCAGATGCTTAACTGACTGAGCCACTCAAGCACCCAGCAATGACATTTCAGACACAACACCAAAGGCACGATCCATGAAAGAAAGAATTGATAAGCTAAACTTCACTAAAATTAAAATTTTCTGCTCTGTGAAAGACATTGGCAAGAGAATGAAGACAAGCCACAGAACAGGAGAAAATATTTGCAGAAGACACATCTGGTAAAGGACTATTAACCAAAATGTACAAAGAACTCTTAAAACTCAAGAGTAAGAAAACAAATGACCTAATTAAAAAATGAGCAAAAGACCTTAACACACACTTCACCAAAGAAGATCAACACACGGCAGGTAAGCACATGAAAAGTGCTTCTGTCATGTTATCAGGGAAATGCAAATTAGAACAATACTAAGATAATACTATATGTCAACTATACTTCAATAATAATAATAAAGAAAAAAACAGATACCCACTATACACTTGTTAGAATGGCCAAAGTCCAGAACACTGATAATACCAAACGCTGGCAAGGATGTGGAGCCACAGGAACTCTATTCACTGCTGGCGGGAATGCAATACCCTATAGCCCTTTGGAAGACAGCCTGGTGGTATCTTAACAAAACTAAACATACTCTTGCCATGTGTTCTAGAAATTGCATGCTTTGGTATTTACCCAAAGGAGATGAAAATTTCTATCTATACAAAAAACTGTGGGGTGCCTGGATGGCTCAGTCAGTTAAGCATCTGACCCTTGCTTTCAGCTCAGCTCATGATCTCAAGCCCCACGTCAGTCTCTGTGCTGGGTGTGGAACCTGCTTAAGATTC